GCAGCAGTAGACCTCACGCTATAGGCGACATATGGCGGTAGACCTCACGCTATAGTAGCACTGACTTATGTGTGGTACCTTGTCAAGTGCTTTCTGAAAATCTATATACATCAAATCCATACCCTTACCCCTCCTCTACATAAGCAGTACCCTCTTCAAAGAATGCCAAAAGATGACAAAGCCAAGATCTTTTCTCTTATGAAACAATGTTGACTATACTATAAAATTTTTAACTTTGTTAAATGAGTTTGTGAAACAACTTTTATCAGACTTTAAAAACTTTCCAACCACAGATATACAACTCCAGCCAATTTTTATCACCTTCCCTGAAAAAGAGTAATAACATTACCCAACTTCAATCCAACATAGATAGGAATGAACTACATAGTATGACTGAGGAAAACGATCTTGACATAGTGGTAGTTAAATCATTTGTGCCACTCAACTTGAAACAATGCTCTGTTGCTAATAGTAAAGCTAACAGAGTTTTAAAGTGTTCTTATATTGACAAGTCAAAATAGGAAAATCTTTCATTACATAAATCACTAGTAAGACACCACTAAAAATATTGTGCAAGTTCTAGTATCCTTATTTAAGAAAGGATGTGGACTTAAATGCTGGGGTTCAAAGGAGTGCTACTAGGATAATTCTGAGAATAGAAGGATTTTCTTAGAGAGATATGTTAAAATCTTCTAATTGGATTTGTTAAAATTGTAAGAAGTGATGTTATTGAAGTTAACAAGATTAAATATGGTACCGACAGGTGAAAGGTCTCTGATTTCTTCGTGCTATATTCTGAAATAGTAGGATAAGAGGATACAAGTTTATGATTTGAAAAACTTAGGCTATGCTCCATTTAAGTTTTATTTTTCTAAAAGGGTGATTGACTTATATAATGAATTGCTCTCAACAATAATGGAGGCCGAAACTTTGCAAGTTTCTTAGAAGAATGAATGGTTTAATGAACAATAAAGAGTATGGCTGAATAATTGAATTTTATTTAATTTTTCTATTAAGGGTAGTTTTCAGGAATGTCTTGAAGGACTGTAAAAGGTCTTTTGTTATCCATAATAATAATATGTTAATATTTGTCATTTTTAAAAACATTACTTAATATAATGGCACAGTGGACTTACATTGCTGTGTTTATGAGTTGAGGTTTTGAAAAAGTAAAAATAACAATATGTGGTGTCACCAAAACTTTCACACGATTCAGAAGTCTTACAGTTATATTGTGCATAGCAGAGGCACAAAGAGGTGAGTAAGAAACAAACTGTATAAATACTAGACTAAAGCCCAACACCAAGTCAAACACTTTTTAACTCAACCGGTTATTTTAAAATTCTGAGGACACCATAAAACACGCTTGTATAAGTTGTAAGTAAATATAATGAATTAAAATTTTTAACACATCCATATTTTCACTGAAGCCATGACTAAACCAAAGTTTATATATAAATATCAATTAAAACATTAAAATCAACTTATGCCTACCTCGCTTCTTCAGCAAAACACTCAAGTGATGTGCTTATCTCACAGCAGACATGGTTAACGTTAGAACTTAATTTTTTTTTCAAAATATCTCGAACTCGTGCTGACGACTGACTAGTCTTTGCTGTACGTTTTTTACACCGACTAATCTGAAACTCACTTTTGGCTTTCGTAATACTATGACGACGAGAAATCTTTTCAGCCATAATGTGAAAGAAAAGTTTTAAAGTTTTGGAACTTGAACCTCTTTTAACATTAATCGTTAGTTAAAACAGTACAACAAAATAACTAAACAAATGGTTTGTGTAATTAGAACTAATACAGAATATTTATCTACCTTTCCTAAAAAAGTAAACATAAAATCACTAACTGGCGAGCGTAAAAACCGGAACAATAATTTACAGCTCGGAACAGGAATACTACAAAAAAGTATTGGAATCTATTGTCCTTTCGATAATTTGAAGAAGCGCACAGTAACTGCACTGATATAAATAAAATGTATCATATTATAATAATGTACTCAGTTTTTGCCTGTCTTGAAAATGCCCGCGCACCCTACCATCTAAATGCACATGCGCACGTACTATTTCAAAAGGAGGCTGTAAATATACCTTAGTATATATTTTGTACAACATATTAATAGCTTATTAAAGTTATTTAAAAAGGCCGTAGTTAATAAAGGTCTAACTAATGATAGGCCCGAGATGAGTTAACTTATAGATTTTAGTGTATGCGATTACAATTCTTTTGTATTATTCTAGAAATTGCTGCAATAAAGATATTAATATTTTGTCAAATTATCATGCAAATTCCTTTCTAACAAAATTGGGCTCCCAAAGAAACCATGTACTGTAGACAAATACCCTTTCACTTGATTAAGGCTGTTCGTCCCTTTTTACTCAATTTTAGGTAAACAAAGTTTCATACTGAAGTCACAAACTTAACTGTAAATTATTGTTACGTCTCCGTTTGTTAATTGATTTTTCCGTAACTTCGTTCCGACGAAATTTTAACGACACAAGTCTTTACTTAATAAAACTGGTTTATTCTTTCCGAATATAACTTTACCGATACACTCAACTTCAACAATCGCGCTAAACAAACGCTATAACAACGAACGTCAATAATACTTCTGACTGCAGTTCAATTACTCACTATCTACACAGACATTCCTTGTCACGTTGTCCCCCTCTTTTATATACCCGACTACCCTATATCTAGTAAGAACTAGAACATTCGCCAAAGTACAGGATAATTCTAGAAAGTAGAGAGCGTGAGAATCACATGATCTCGATGACGCAACATTATTTTATTGACGTAGGATCTGGTTTAGTTCTGAATTTCGCGCAAAGCTACACGAGAATTATCTGCGCTAGCAGTTTCCAATTTAGCAGTAATGGAGTAGAGGGAAGGAAGCTAGTCAATACTACCCACCACCAACTCTTGGGCTACTTTTGACAAGGATACATATTATAACGCCTCCACGACTATGAGAGTGAGCATGTTAATGACAGGGATTCGAACCCGTGCCCCGTAGCTTGCAAGTCGAGCGTCATAACCATCAGACCATGCCATGCCAAGTAGGACCTGGAGTAATTCATAATGATTATAGAAGAAATATGCAAGTATTTTTTTATCTTGGAGATAATAACATTCAAATTTATAAGGGAATAAGAATGCATACTTTATTTGTGAACAGATATGTTACCTAGAATTAATTGAAATTAATTTATATGCAGTTGAAAGAGGAAAGAAAGGTCTCAGGTCTTTTAATTCTAGTAATATGTCATAACACAGAATTAAACATTGAAAAACGTTTGGCACCATCACTATAATTTAGAGATGTTGAAATGTTTGTAAGGGACAGAAGGAATGAAGTAGTTGTATTTAGAGTTAAACTAAAGTAATTGGAAATTATTAAATTTTAATAATGTTGCGTCAGCGAGTCGCATGACTAGTGTGACACCGCGTTTCTAGAACTATCCTGTACCTTGGCGAATGCTCTAGCATTTACTAGATATAGGGTAGTCTGGTATATAAAAGAGGGTGACAACGTGACGGGACAATAATGTGTGTAGGTAGTGAGTAATTGAACTGCAGTCAGAAGTATTGTTGAAGTTAACGTTCGTTGTTAAAACGTTTGTTTTAGCGCGAATATTGAAATTAAGTGTATCGTAAAGTTGTATTCGGAAAGAATAAACCAGTTTTATTAAGTAAGGACTTGTGTCGCTAAAGTTTCGTCGGAACGAAGTTAGGGAAAGTTAATTAACAAACGGAGACGTAACAATAAGTAACATCGTTAGGAACGTTTAGTATGTATTGAATTCTTATATTTTCCCTTAACAATGTGTTTAACAAGTGTAATGTCAAAGTTACAACAAGAAAAATGTAAACACTTAACATTACAAACACATGTAGCTTAATGGACAGATCTAGGTAGTAATAAGAAAGAGCCTAAAATGGATAGTAGCTTATTAAAAACATTCATGTGCTCTGGATTACTGTGGAAGGTACTGTGGTATATTGGAAATAATGAAAACTTAACAGTATGAGATAGCAACGAGTTTAAAGCTATTTTACACAACCAAAAACAGCTAGCTAGAGTTCTAATACCGAAGCATTTGAAAAGAGAACCAAAACTAGCGTAACAGTAACAAGACTGGTCCACGTGCACACCCAACAACATCATCTGGATTTGAGAAGCTTCTGAACAAAATACTTAACCATACTAGGAGATGATATTCGCACATTAATTAAATACAGAATACGTCATATAAACGCCAAAAATAAGTTAATTAAAAAGTCAGTGAGTCAATCATTTGGTAAGTTATTAATAACCAGCCATCATTTAACAAGTCCGTAGCTACTCAACAGCATTTTCTCCTTATCAGAAGCCATAGAAAGCAGAATGGAAAAGGATTAAACTTTTCTATAAGTTTTCACTACTTGATAATCATTGAATACGACAAAAAAAGTCTTAAGCAGCAGAAGATGTATTTAGTAAAAGTGTATGTATCGCTGTTGTATTTAACCTTTCAACTGCGGTTGACATCATATGATGTTAGCGTAGGCGACTGCAGTTGACATCATATGATGCAATCATTTTGCGCATAACATTTTGAATGGCCCGCAGCAAAACTTTGCGAATCTTTGCGCATGGGGTGGTAGGCAGATTTACACAAGCCGTAAACGAATTGTTAAATATTATAAACCCAAATATATTGTGAACTTTATTGTTTGTAATATTCTTCATAGTTTTTGACTGAAATTGATTTTTAAAGGTAATATTGTTATTATTCTGAATATTTAGCCTCTTTGTTTAAAGTTTTATTTGTTTTATCACAAAGCTACACAATAGACTACTTGCGTTCGGTCCACCACGGGTAATAGCCCATTATGCAGCTTTGTGCTCAATAACAAATACTCAAAACAACTTTTTATACATGATATGAAAAAATAACTTTTATCTTTTTATTCAATTCAATATAGTGAATTGTTTCTATGTCTGGCTAGCATTGGGTATTTTTTTTTTTTTGTACAGCTGTAGCTTATCTATATCATAAAACCCATGTTATCAGAGAAGTCCCAAGCTGCAGATCACTTCCCTGATATGATCACAGAGTGTGAATTCTTGTATGGCTCATCGTAGTGCGTGAAACATCCCACATTCAGGATAGATACTTTTTTCAGATCAGTGAAAATTAAGTGTATTGCAAAGTTGTATTCAGAACAATAAACCAGTTTTATTTAAGAAAGGACTTGTATCGCTAAAGTTTCTCCGGAAAGAATTTTTACAGAAAATTAACAAACCAACAGAGACGTAACAATACTGTTTCACCATCAATGGACAGGGTAACATTAATTTTGTGTATAATTCAACAACGTCGACAGAGATGTATCCCATATTGTATTAGTCCTTCTGCATACTTCACTGTAGATGCTGTACATACATCATGATGACATGTTCTCTTCGCTGTCATTGATTGCCGCTAAACCATTTCAATTTGGATTCATCTGTAAGGAGCACCCTCAACCACCTTGTTTGAAAGTTGGTGCCATTTACATCATTTTGGCTTGTTTAACCCTTTAACTGCGGTTGACATCATATGATGTTAGCGAAGGTGGCTGTGCTTGACATCATATGATGCAAACATTTTGAATGTCCCGTCGCAGAACTTCGTGAATCTTTGCGCATGGGGTGGTAGGCAGATTTGCACAAATCGCAAACGAAGGATTAATTCCCTTAAGTAGTGTTTTGAGTAGCTTCACACACACTGAGGCCAATTTATTCTCATAAATATTTTACTGTTATGGAGGTAATATTCATACCTTAAGACCAGATAATTGGCAGGATCTCTATCGATTGTCTTGTATCACGTAAAAACATGCATGAGTTACTTTCAATAACTTTTGAGGAATTTGGGCTTTTTACCTCAGTTGGTTCTATCATTTACAGCAGAGGTTCCCAAACTGTGGTCCGCCGTAATACATCAAGTTTATGAAATTACCATTTACTGAAAGAGCAACGATTAAAATAAAATGCTAAGACATTATAAAACTAATATAGTAATATATATATAAATCCCAAATTAAAGGTAGTAAAATACACATATGATACACCAGTTACACGAGATAAAAACGGGAGGTAGTCCGCAAATACAGTAAAGAAGTTGAAGGAGTCCGCCAGTTGGCAAAGTTTGGGAACCCCTGATTTACAGTATTAGTTTTATGTACCCTCTTTAGAGTTTCTATATGGCTCCTACTGAAACACGAAATTTCTCCTCAATCATAATTTTTAAAGCTACACTTCAATATTTTTGTATAAGTGATCGAAATACTTTCTTAAATGTCTAGAAACAAGACTACGTTATAAAAACGAGAATCAGAGAAGCATTGAGTCAGTAGATTGCCAGTCAAAGGGAAGTATCCAGATCAATTCATGATGTTAGAAAGACATGTAGGTTCAAAAAGTCTTGATAGAAATGAATAAACACCCTATAACCAGAGCGCATTCGAAAGGTGGACCTTTCTTCTTCAGGGGTAATCTGGTTCTTAAATGTTAGGCTTAACAGTAACAGTGTTAACAATAGGCTACTGGTATTTGGTATTGAGTATTTATTTTCAGGCTATAAGTATAAATACAATGGTTAAGTACTCGCAGTTTGTTAGGTGTAATGTGGGCATGAACATTTAAGGAAGCTAGTAATGACGATGTGCAATTTTTATGTAGAGTTTGTAGGTTAGAGGAGAAGTTGGAACTATCATAATTAATGTAGAAGCATTCGATAAAGAGAAGTGTAGACTATGAGAAATGGCAGCAGGATTTCAAGAGGAGCTGAGTTTTTACATTCAAGGGATAAATCAGCTAACAATAACATTCGGGAAGTTAGAAAGAGTATTGTTAGAGTATAATAATCTGGAACAAGAAAATATCTAAAGAAGAATTAAAAATATAAATAACTCTGATTGAACACAAGTTCCACAAAGCTATTAGGGATCTACAGAAGGATTACAAGTCTGAAGAAATGCAGAAGAACATCACT